AGATATAAAAGCAACCTAAATGTCTAACCATGGATGAATGGCTAAAGGAAGTGTCTTTCTATACAACGGAACATTAGTCAGGATTTGAAAAGAAAGAAATCTTGTCATGCTACAACATGGGTGAACCTTGAGAAGTTATGCTAGTGAGATAAGCCTATCACAAAAAGACATTCTGTGTGATTCCACTTACTGCAGGTATGTAGTCACTTACAGAAACAGAAAATAGAATGGTGGTTGCCAGGGGTTAGGGGAGGCGGAAACAGGGAGCTGTTCCGCATGCAGTGGGTGTGAAATTTCAGGCACCCAAGATGCAGAAGTTCTCAAGACGTGCTGTACAATAGTGCATATATAGTTAGCAATATTGTACCGTACACTTTAAGATTTGTTCATGGGGTAGATTTTATATAACGTATTTTTTTTTAACACAAAAAGAGAGCTAATGGTTCATTATCTCTTTTCCTTCTGCCAAGATGGACATGTAGAAATAAGTCTCTGTTTTGAGCTACTGAAGTTTGAGTTTGTTCCAATAGCATAACCTAGCATGTCCTGACTGATATCATGAGAACCAAAATGGATGATGGTGGTGGAAAAAAGGAACAGATTTGAAAGATAATGGGGAGATAGGATTAGAAGGAGATACTCTGACTGTAGGGGTGGGGAAAAGTCCAGATGACTCACTTCTCTGGTTTGGGCCACTAAGTGGGTGATGATACTATTCACATAAAATTGCAAGTAGAATAGAAAAACTGGGTGGCTCAGTTAGTTAAGCGTCCAACACTTGATTTTGGCTCAGGTCGTGATCTTGAGGTCATGAGATTCTGTGCCCTATTGGGCCCCACACTGGGCCTGGAGCCTGCTTAGGATTCTCTCCCTCTCCCCTCCCCCTCTTAAAAAAAAAAAAGATTCCAGGAGAGAAGGTCAATCGATTCTGTTTTAAACAGGTAGAACTTTGAGGATGGAGGTGTTCAGTATGTGTATGTTTTGCTAATGCCTGGCACATAGTAGGTCTCAGTAATTACTTAGAAAGTGACTAGGGTTAGGAACATGAGGGGAGATCTAGGCTAGAGGAAAATTTTGTAGTCAGAAGTAAGAAGCATTGAAAGGAGGGAGCCCTGGGGACAGGGAACACAGATGGGAGCACAGAAAGCCTGCAGCAGGGCATCTAGGAAGTAGGTCACAGGAGTTAGAGAATGCTGATAGCATTTTGATTTAGAATCTCATCAAATTCATAGATGAGTTTGCGGAGATTAATATCAATGAAGTGAGTCCTGATAAGTTCAAAGTATATATTTCCATTTATTTCAGATCTTTTTGTGTCCCTTAGTAACGTTTTCCAGTAAAGAGAATGCATCATAAGGCATTCTCAATGATCGTATGCTTCAGAACTTGACCCTCCCTGCAGATGAGAGCATCCACATTCTGGACGCTTTCCACCATTAGGGTAAGGTCTTCAGAGTTTGGCCCACCGTGGAAAATAAAGTGAAAACTGTCTCTTGGGAACCTGAGGCAGGGACAGCAGGTTCGGAAGTTCCCGCCCTGTTCTTCACAGGGAAGGGAGAGCTAACTTAGACTTAGGTCTAAGCTGGTCCCTCCTTATTAGGCACTATGGTGAGTCACCACTAGGTGGCACTGATACTCCGTGAGGAACGGTTTTCTCTTGAGCATTTCAGAAGTATGTCAGTCAGCAAGACAGTGTCTCCTAAACAGAATTCTTGTAGGCTTAGTACCAAAGCAAACCACTATGTGCATTCAGAATTGAGTACCCGAGATGTCAGTGTTTTTAGAACCTGTGCTTTTACCTTTTCCACTTAAACAAATTTTCCTTATGACATCGTTTCTTTTCAGCTAGATGGCTAAACCCAACCGTTAATCCTTGAGGATTACTAATGTTTAAGAAATAAGCCACAAACTAATTTTTGGCCCGTGTGAGACTAAAGGCATCTGCTTCCTCATTGCAGTGTCTTTGCCAGTAACCTAAACTCCACTTAGATTTCCGGGAACTTGTCACTCTGAGATGAGGCACTTATATTAATATATTATCTAGAGGCAGGCTTGAATGCCTGGAATCATTCCTCTAAAATCCCTGAAGAGAATAAGATACTGTATCTTTGATGAAATGGGGAGAGAGTCTTTGTTTCGTTGATATGACGGAATGCTTTTGTCAAGGCCCTCAGCGCCCTGTGTGTTTGCAGATAAAGGATTGATCAGTTTGTTTTCAGCATGGTGCTTTTAGGAATGAATTGGATGTGTTTGGTGTGGGACTGCAGAGTGTTAGATAAAAGGAGATTTGTAAGCGATGCTTCTGGAATATTTATCCTGAGGGTCAGAATTTCCCTGTTGAGTCTTTCTCTACTTTTCTAGGATCATAGCTTTGCTCCATCAATTCAGAGGTTTTTACGTAGAGCTTTCCAGAAAGGCAGCCAGAGCTACAAGTTCGAGGTTTAAGACTATTCATGAAGTAAGCGCTAACGGAGGGAGACCCATCAGGTGGTGAGACTTTAGTCCGAAGAACTGTGAAGGACACCTGGCTTGGTGTTCCTTAGTGAAACCAAGGGGGTGAGTGTGGCTGGACGTCTTTTCCCGGTGTCTCTTGTACTTGTTTTGCTGTGTCTTTCTCACCTTTCTTTCCTGTGTTTCTCATTTCTTTTCCCTACTCCTCTTTTTCTACCATTTCCAGGCCCCATCCTATCCTTTGTAGCATTCAGTGTTACTGACTCCACAGCAGTGAAATATAACCAGAATTCACATCTGCAGTGAACCAGTTTGTTGCTAAAAAACAGGCATCTGCAGCCGCCTGCCGTAGCTGGACGGCCGCGTGAAGAGAATGTAAATGAGCCTGGACCAGCTGTCAGTGCCAGGGCGGCTCCAGCTGTGACAGTGGACGCTTGGCACTTACTAGCAGCACTATCATTTGAGGCCCAGCCCGTCAGCTGACTCCTGTGCTGAGCACAGGCGTTTACATTTATCTAGATCTGAATGAAGCTTGATCCTCTTGTTCCCCACTATCAGGGAGGATCTTTATTCAGGAAGTTATGTTGACAAGAACTGAATGTTTGGGTAACAAAGGGATTTTTTTAAGTCCCAGAACGAGCACTCATTCCCTGGCGTGGAAGTCCGTGCTTCATAATGCAAGTCCACAAAAGAGGTGGGGTGGGGTGGGAATTCCCTCCCGGGGATTTGGCCTGCCCCTGCTCACAAGGTGAGTCACTTCCTTCAGAGCCGGAGGGTTCTGGAGGGTTCTGGCGGAATAGCTTAAGACCTCAGGCTGTGTGGTATGCAGGCGTGTTGGGTAGGTGCCATTCAGGGCTCTCAGCTCCTGGCATTCCCCCCAACCACCTTAAAAAGTGGCCTCTGAGGTGTGGAGTGGAGTGACAGTATTTACCCAGTGGTGAGAACCCAGAGGGAGGCCTCCACGCCACAGACACAGTCCCAGAGGAGATCCCAAGCAGCACTGCTGTGAGCCGCCCTCCCCTCAGTCTCGGGGTAGAGCTGGCATTGTGGCAATGAGGTTTCAGGATCTAACTCTGTTTTTAACTTAATATTTTAGTCATTTTCCAGTTTTTAAAATTCCTCATAGCAAACAGCATAGTGAATGTGTTCATCATAGGCTTCTGATCCTTGAAAGATTTTGGTTGATAATTACACTTCATTACTTATCACTTCACACACTAATATATGATTAGAGAACCTGGAGGCGGGGGGAGAAGTGTGGGGGGGTATGTTCCCAAGAAGAATAAAAACAACAAAAGGCAGATATTGCTTACCTCTTTTCCTATCCTGCCTTCCTAGTAAAAGTCCTGTAAATACCGTATCTGCTGTTGTTTGCAGCACTTAATTTGAAAGGGAGCTAGATATCTACCCAAGGGGAAGAAAGGTAAAATATATACATGGGGGGTCGCCTGGCAGGCTCAGTCAGTAGAACTTGCAACTCTTGATCTTGGGGTCTTAAGTTAAAGCCCCACGTTGGATGTAGAAGTTGCTCGAAAATAAAAAATCTTTAGAAGTACATACGTACACGGTGCCTGGGTGGCTCACTTGGTTAAGCGTCTGCCTTGGGCTCAGATCATGATCCCTGGGATTATGTCCTGCATCAGGCTCCCTGCTCTGCTTCTCCCTCTGCACCTCTTCCCACTCATTCTCTCAATCCCTCTCTCTCTCAAATAAAAAAAAAATCTTTATATATACACACACGTATACATACGAATACAGGCACAGGTTAAACAACAAAGCGAATATGAATAAAACAGTTATTTTTGTTTCCCCGTAGTCCTACAGGAGTAGTTTCTATTCCTATATTGCATCTTTTCTGTCCCTTGATCCTGGGCACTGAGTAGTGAAAACGGATGCAGGCCTGGCAGTGCTGCGGGGCGGCCCCCCCAGCGGACAGGGGAGTGCACCTCAGAGCCCAGGCGTGCCAGACAGGCTGAGCTGTTGGCTGGACTTGGGTATTCGCCTGTCCTTGACACCCCGCCCCCCGCCCCCCGCCAAGGTGGGTGTTACTCTGCCTTGCCCCCAGAGAACATTCCGGTGCTTCCTTTCTCACCCAGGGAAGCTGCTCTAGAAGGTTAAAATGTTGCTTTGTGTTCCACTTGTGCTGGGCTTCGTTAGTAGGTTCTGAGTTTGGGGGGTTCCCTTGAAGACCGCTGCGTGAGAAGCCCTTGCCGACCTGCCGCCCCGGAGCCAGCCCTGGAGCCAGCCCTGGGCTGGGCGCCGCCGGGCGACAGGGAGCGAGGTGCCTGTGGCCGCGCTTGTGCTGCAGCTCGGAACACAGTCTGGTGGCGTGGTGAATGAAGACAAGGGATTTCGACGTTCAGCCGGCTCAGGCTTCCGTTCCAGCTCTGCCCCTTCTTACCTTTGTGACTGAGGGTAAATACATCCCCTCCCTGAGCCACAGTTTTTAAATCTGTAAAATGAGAACAGTGGCACCTACCTCGCAGACCTCTGGTGAAACGTCAGTGACGTGTGGGTCGTGTCTCATAAAGCGGGGGCGGAGGCGCAGACAGCCTGATGTAGGGAAGCGCCGGTGCCTGGCACGTCTCAGGTCAGGAAACAGTAGCTGCCGCACAGGGAAGGCGCAGACTGATGCCAACGGTGGCTGCAGGTGGGGAGTTCCTAGAAAGGAGGAACTTCTCCCAGATGTCTAAAGTCTCCCACAGGAGTGTGGAATTCCCCTAAGGTGGGCAGATGTAAAGTCCCATCAGGGACCTAAAGAGGACTCTCCCAGACCTTAGCTTTTCAAATCGTGGACTCAGAAAACTCTTCTTACTAGCATGCCACAGTGGAAAGGGGATGGATTTTTTTAAGCTAAATTTTGTGCTGATACATTCTGTAAGAAATGACTGCTGACACTTTAGCCCACATTGTTCAAGTTCAGAGAAGGACCCGGGCTACCCTGGGGAGAGCTGTGTCCTAATGAAGGCTACCTGTGCCCTGCGAGTCTCAGTTGCTTGGTCCACAGCACTGCTGTGTCCCTCCTTTTGGATGTCTTACTGGTTTTTTTTTTTTTATCCCTTTCTGAAAGGTCTGGCATCTCAGGGAGTATTTCAAGAGATGAGTGTAGGAAGGACCTAGAAAAATGATTGTTTGTTTTACTAGAGGACTCAGAATTAGGGACAAAGTGAAAATGGCCGTGCTTTGTCTCCATGACTCATGGGTTATGTTTTTTGTCTTCTTAGGAAGGTGCCGATCTTTGAGTCTTGACCACAGCACCCACCCCCAGTGCAGCAGGGCAGGCCTGGAGGCCGGGACTGCTCACCTTTCACTGTCCTTGTAGTGAAAGGACATACCTCCTTGTCTCTCTTTTGTTTGGGTTTCTACTAAGATACGTTGTCTACAGTATGTATAGAGACTGTGAATTTTTAACAGACTTGGATGGGCACATTATTAAAATTGAAACTCGACCCTTTCTCATGGTTTTTGTGGCCACCCTGCGCCATTGCTTATCAGACTCACCACAGCCTAGCCCTGTTCACAAACCATACGAGGATCATAAGCTTTGAGTGCCTATCTTTCTGGAAACCACATATTACTTGTTTAGTGCCTTCATATGTTTTGTTAAAATAACTTAATTTTTGTGTGTGTGCCTGTGGCCTCATCGAAGGAGAGATGCATTTTGATTCAAAGTCTTTAGAAATCTCACGTTGAAAATCCCTCCAGAATTGACATCTACAAAATACCTTTATAGTCATTTGCCGCCTTCTTGTCTATTCACTAATTAATTGTGTGACCAGGTGTCAGCATTTTGATTTAATTCGTTTTACTGGTTCTCATTGTAGTGTCCTTGGAGGAGCGTGTGCATGCATCACACGGGCATGTGTGTGCATCGTGTGTGTGTGTGTGTGTTTTACATGTGTGTGTTGGAGCGCAGAACCTTCGTGTCCCCTCTTTGCGTTCTCAGCACAGAGCACTGCAGGGCTTCCACCCTTGCAGGTAGAAGAGAAATTGTTGCTATGGTAATAACACAGGCATGAAAACACCCCATCTCCCTGTGGGTGTCTGTGTCAGGGAGGAGGAATGTGGGCAAGGGAAACAGGAGCAAAAAGGAATGCTTGTCTGTGGAGCCATCGCAGGGTGGAATTTCTCATTTGTACTGTTGGATTCAAGGTCATTTTCCCATTGCTGTGGTGCCTGAGCAACGTAAATGCCGTTTTACCGCTCAGTGTCCTCCCTGACTTTGAGACAAACATACAGAGAATGAGGACTTCTCTAGTCCCCAGAGGCTGCATGGCCCTCTCCCAGACCACGATTAGAAATGCATGTCTGTATCTGTGGGCCAGTTTACAGTCCTAAGTGGGATTAACTGCCCAGACCCAGAAGCCATTGCCCTTTGTCTCCATGGTAACAGGCTCAGTAGCCAGCCCTGCCATCTCTTGAAACCTAATGGCATCTGTGTGCTCTGTATCTGCACCACATACCAGTGCTCCTTGAGAAAACGGGCTCAGAATGACCTTGGTGACTAGGATCAGCACTGACAAAGTCCAGTCTGCCGAGGTCAGGGTAAGAAGCACAGCCACAGTTCTTGTGCTGTTCTATCAGAAAGAGCAGAGGCAGTTAGGATCCTGTGAGGTGGGGGTTTGGCACCTTAAACAGGCAGATGTTGAGGGGCCTGCCAGTGGACCTCTTACCAGTAGCCTCTTTAGGGACTTTCTGCTCCTTGTCTGCTCAGTCACAGCTAACAGGGGACATCAGGAGTCAAATCCAGGGCTGCCTTGCTTGGTATTATGTGGTTTTAGGTGTGATTTGGGTATGGTTGGATGGTTTTAAGAGTCCTTATCTTTTAGAGATACAAACTGAAATGCTTAAAAATGAAATGATACATCATCTGGGATTTGTTTTAAAAATACACTGGGCAAGAGAGGATGGGAGAGTAGATGGGGTACAAAAAGGTAATTAGCCCTGAGTTGATAATTATTAAACCTGAGGGATGGGTAGGTGGGGACCCATCACTCATGTTTATTGCCTACTTTTTTGTATATTTAAAAAGTTAATTTTTAAAACACCATATTGAAAAAACATAGTTTCACTTGAGTTTTCTATTATCTGTGTTCTTTCCTACTTTGTTGCTTTGAGGGCATCTCACTTTTGGGACCTGCAGTGACCCATACTCAGATGTCCAATTCTGTGGCATGGTCACTTTTTTAAGAGATGAGGGAAATTTGTTACATAATAGGAAAATGTCAGCAGCTCTTCGTGGGAGGATACAAGGGCTGGTCATCTTGGGGGAGGGAAGGTTTTGTGGCTGGGGGGCGGTTCTCGACTTGTACAAGATTCTTCTGTAGGAGTGGTTTTGACTTGGTGTTTCCAGCTTCCCTGAGTAAAAAGACTTCAGCTACCCAGAAGGAATCCAAGATGGATCCCTAGACCGCAATGTAACCAGTGAAACAGGTTCTGGGAACCTGGGGCCCTGTGATGAGGGCCTACGCCGAAGCCCTGCTAGAGGCTTTTGGACAGCTCTGGATAGGCTCCTTTTCTCTGGAGTGACTTCCAGCATATGGTGCCTCTTCAAGGCCAGAGAAGAGACCAGATGGCCTTTCACGTGTCCTTCCAGTCCAAAGTCCCTGGTTTCCAATACTGAAGGTTTTCAAAATGGTGTTGGTATTTGCTCTCCGAAGAGAAATAGGCTAAGAGTTTCTCAGATCAAATCCCTGTGGCCTCATAAAAGCACTTCAATTTTATTTTCCATCAGAAATTTGTATGAGAAAGGGTTTTAAGTTTCAAAAGTTCCCTATGCCTACGAAGCTGATTGAGATTCTAGCCCAAAGAGAGTGATGTGGACCACAGTTTTTTCTTCCCTTGTTCTGACTGTAGTTTGTCCTTTCCCCATCCTGACCTCCTTCGGTGAGATTTTGCTACTCCAACTGTATCTCCAGTTGCCACATTCCTCTTAGTGCCCAGGCCCTCTCACCTCCCATAAAAGCCACCTCCTCTTCTCTCCCAAGGCCCGCGCCCGCTCTCACCTCCCCTTAGCTCGCCCAGCATGGGTCTTCTCTCCAGGTGGACCCCGTGCCCCTGAGCCCTGTCACCAAGGCCCTGTCTGCTGTGCAGTGCTTCCTTCTCCCCTGCCTTCTTCCTCTAGACTCACTCCTTCCTAAAACTTTTGCCTTGCTGTCTTAGCTGCTCCCTCAGCATAGGCTTGTGCCAACACAGGCTGGTTGGCCTTGATTGGAACTTGGTCATTCGCTCAGCAGATTTTTATTGAGTATTGCTATGCCTGAAGATACAAAATAGGCAGCGACAGCCCTACCCTGAGATCTGGATCAAGGGAGGCCAACTCCTTGTGCAGACAGCTAAATGGACGGTGATGGGAACTGCTGGAGGGAGCCAGAGGGAGGGGACAGTCCTTCGATTGGGCGCAGTCCGGAAACACTTCATGAAAGAGCTGGATCTTGACCTGACAGAGTCCTAACGGCACCTGATGGGTGCAGGTAGACCGCTATTCCTGGCCAGGAAGTGACGCAGAGAGAGCTGTTCAGGGGTCAGCGGTAGACCTGTGTGACGGAACAGGAGGAAAGTGGACTAGGAGGATGGATGGACTTTGGTTCGAAAAGGACACCCCAGGGAGCTGTTGCAAGCCCGATGTAGGGATGGTGTGATCAAAGTGCTGGTGGGAGGGTGGATCTTGTAGAGCCACAAAAGAGGGCATGGGGGGGGTGGCAGCTGGAACATCTGGTTGTTTCTGGTGACCTAGTGACCCGAGACCTGGGGATGCACAGTGCTCTTGTGGTCCTTGGTTAACAAAACCTCCAGTCCCAAAACCCATTCGTGCAGTGCTGTGGACCTTTGCTAGCATTCTTTTAGCCTTCTCCAGAAGGCCTCGGTGGGAGTGAATTGGCCTGGAGAAACACCAGTCTGAGGGCTGACTGGGGGGCCGGAGGGGGGTGGTGGCAACAGTTGAGAGCAACGGTAGAGGCAGCCAGTTCAAGGTTGGCAGTGGATCCGGGGAATATGTGTACAAGCCGCCGGCTGTCCCTGGAGCACACCCCCCTGCCGGAAGAGAGGGGTGGTCGAGGGGATGCTGTGGTAGGGGGTTCTGCAGTGCTGGCTGCAGGAAAACTGCTGGACATTTGGCCCCGCATTTAGTGGCTGCTACTTTGCTCCAGTTCCATGGCCAGCGTGTTTTTTTAGTCCTTGGATGCTTTAAATACGGAAAAAACCATGTAAGCATCACAAGTTTTCCCCCACCCATTTAAAAAAAGCTTGTTTTCCAGCTGAAAGCATGTTGGATAAGCTTAATTTCTCTCACTCAGATAAGCTTAATTTCCCTAACTCCGATGTGCATACAGAGAATTGCCTAATTTTCCTTTTGCAACATGTTTTCCCAGCTGCTGGGAGGCCGGTTTTTGTTTTTTTTTTTTCTCTGAGCCTCCTGACAGAAATGCAAACAATTTAAGGCCCTCTGGTACCAACTGCTGTTTATTACCCCAGGGACTTGGATATTGGTATGTTTTCCCAGGAATGTATTTATCTGGAGTCAGTGGCTACTCCCCCATCCCTCTGAGCCATTCGGGAGACAGGGATCAGGCTGGGCTGGGCTGGGCTGGGCTGGGCTTCAGCAACAGCTGCAGCCCCTCCTCTGAGCAAGGTCACCTCCCTGCCCAGCTCCAGTCCCACAGCCTCGTTGTGCTAGGAAATGAAGCCGTTCCTTGCATGTGATCTGATTGGAATCGTGTTTTCTGGAGCACCTCTCTTAGATCTTTCAGCAGAACACAGACAGCCTTTTTATACCTTGTTTTGTCAAAAGTGCATTTCCACCAGAATAAGGCTTGACGCTGTTCATAAGTAAACACATCCCTTTGCAGGCGAGGCAAGGAAGAAATGCATCTGGGAGCAGTTGGGCTGGGTCTGCTTTTCCCCTGCTGAATGCCTGGCGTGCACTGTCCATCCAAGGGTGGCTGAGAGGAGAACGCTTTATTCTGTTGCTGCCAAAACCACAACAAATGACAACTTTCCGTTCTGTCATCTCTCTCAGCTTCACTGCTGGGCAGGCAATTCATTTTTCTACCATAAAAGGGCAACGAAGCCTGTGTAGAGCCGGGGTGCCTTCTGCACTGCAGTGAGAAAGTAGAAGACAGCCGGGGAGAGAGCGTGGCGGGGCTTCTGCCAAGCACACCTCCTGCTTAGGCCAGGCTGCAGGGTGGTGGCAGCAGTCGAGAGCAGGGAGTTGGAGGCGTGCCATCTGATTGGGCACGGTGAGGTCAGATCAGGCATGGGTATCCTTGGCATCTCATGCTCATCTAGGGGGACACATGAATGTGTGGTTCAAACCCTGTTCAGAGGAACTGCACCAAGCCTGCCCGGGTGGCTCTATAATACTGGCATCAGGTTTTCTTGATTTGTAATTGCAGGTACTGGGTTTATAAGGGGTACCTGGGAGATCGTATAGCCCTGACACCCTCATTGTACAGTTAAGGGGAAGAGGTTAAATGCAAGGTTTACGTAGCTTGAGGAATCCTCCAACTTCTGTCTTCCAGTTATACGTGGACTCTGGATTGTGGGATAGTTCTCTAATCTGTATATGTCCTCAGTTGTCCAGTAGTATACAGTTTGCCTCCGTTAATGGTGGGCCATAGGGACCCGGACTAATAGAAATACAGTTCTTAACTGGTGGCTTCATGTGTCAGCCAGGGCCTTCCAGAAAGTGTCTATTCTTTGTAATGTTGTTAGCTGTAAAATTCATGGACCCTTTAGGTGATTGTAAATAAATGCCATTCAAAATCAGTACAGGGGTAGGTAGAAAGCAAACATTTAGCTATTTTGACAACATCAGAGTGGCTGCAGAATTCCCCCCCAACCCACCCATACAGCCTGGTGAAGAAACCAGAATACCAGGTCAGCATCCATTGAGCAGGAGCCCCACACCACAACATGGCCACCGGCGCAGACCTCTGCCCTGGGCCTCCGCCTTCTCTTGGAGTGCCACTGCTCTGGAGAGAGCAGGTTCTCAGATTGAGCCGAGAACTGTGCTTTTTGCCTGACTCCCTTCTAGGTTTTCCTGTAAAGAACTAAGATTTGTCATTTACACTTACCTTAACTCTTTTGTTTTTAGGATTTTATTTATTCCTTTGAGAGAGCACACGCAGGAGCGGCAGAGGGAGAGGGACAAGCAGACTCCCCACTGAGTGTGGAGCCCTACGCAGGGCTCTTTCCCAGGACCCTGAGATCATAACCTGTGCCCAAGTCAGACACTTAACTGACTGAGCCACCCAGGCGCCCCTAAACTTACCTTAACTCTTAACTGCACATCTGACTTCATAGCAGATGCTGGAAATGAACCAAGCACATTCTTCAGGGAATGAAAACCATGTCCAAGAATCTTGCTGATCTGGAAATTTGGGAGGAAAGCAAGGATTTTCAAGTTTAAACTTTATTACCTCAATAGTGCTGGTGGTCAGAATGGATTCTCAGCTCATTGGCTCAGAATCAAAAGTTAACTCAGAAGTCATTCCTGGAAGAGAATATCACTGAGTAGAGATGGCAGAAAACAAGCTCAGTATGAATGATTCAGTATCACATTCCTAGACCTTGTTGGAAACTGTAAGATGAGCTTAAATCTTACCATTCCAGCCAATAAAAGCAATTGGGTAGGCCGTGGTAAAATGGAGCATTTACACAATTCTTTTTTAGCATGACCTGTCTAAATTCTTTTTTTCTCAATAGCATAAAACTGAGTATCTTAATCTGTTAGAGAGCTAATTGGTATATTTTTCCCTGGTACTTCTCAAGATCTTCACTACCCTTGGAATAAACAGAATAACACCCAAAAGAATTTGTCTCCACTGCCTGTTTCACAGTCTTTCCTTGTAGAAACCTTTGAAGCCTTTGTTTTGTTGTCAGTAGCAGCAAGAGAATTCCGTCTTACAGAACACTTACTCTTATTAAGTGTAATTTTTATAAGGCTAATTTCTCAAGCAAGTAGCATTTCCTTCTTGGATAGAGCCTCTCCGTCCCCATCCATCACTGTCTACACATGCTTGGGCGTCCTGGCCATGTGGTGACCAGCTCAGAGACATCAGCCTGCTCACTTCCTAATTTGGTCACAGTATGCTTCAGGCAGCCTTGCCAAACTTAGAAAAACACAAACACAGGGAGTAGCTTTGATATAGCAAAGGGGGATTTCCTCTTATCAAAAGACCTACAGTTTGCCTCTTGCTTCCTCTAAAAAGAGGAAGTGACACTTTGAGAGGTTATAGCTCACCCTGAAGTTCCCTCTTTAAGCCTCCTCCTCCATGCTGGCCTCTTCCCAGCCAGTTCCTGCTCTTCCTTTCCTCAGCCTTCTTAATGCTTCTCAGAATTTGCAGAGTTTAATTTTATTCTTAGAGAATTTTAAGGAGTAAGAAATTTTCTTCTTTTTTTTTTAAGATTTTATTTATTTGCGAGAGAGAGAATGAGAGAGAGCGTGAGAGGGGGGAGGGTCAGAGGGAGCAGCAGACTCCCCGCCGAGCAGGGAGCCCGATGCGGGACTCGATCCCGGGACTCCAGGATCAAGACCTGAGCCGAAGGCAGTCGCTTAACCGACTGAGCCACCCAGGCGCCCCAGGAGTAAGGAATTTTCCACTTGAATGTCCATCAGTGGGAAACGGGTTAAATACGTTTTGGTGCAGCCATACAGTGGCATACACCAGAGGATGGCGGGCTTTTTCTAGAAAGGGCAAGATAGCAGACAGTTTAGGCTTTTCCAGCTACATAGCCTGTGTCGCAGCTACTCCGTCTTGCCTTCGTAGTGCGCAAGGAACCCTAGACGGTGCGCGAACGAGTGAATGTGGCTGTGGTCCAGTAAGATTATGTTTATAAAAACAGGCAGCAGGCCAGATTGGGACCATGAGCTCCAGTCAGTCAACCTCTGGCATATACAGTAAGATTTAAAAGGATGACATGGGCCCAGTAGTGTCAACACGGAGCTGCCCCCAGATGTTAAGTGAAAAAAGCCAGGTGTAGAGCAGGGTGGTGGGTATGGTGTGTTTATATTTGGGTCTCAGACGAGTGGAGGGAGGTGTGCTGACGGGTACGGAAAATCCGTGTGGAAGGGCAGTTTCTTGCACTGGTACCCAGGAGTTGCTTCAGGGGTTCATCAACCCAGTCAACTCCGAAATTTTAAAGCAAAAAGATTTTGTTGTGTTGGTGTTAAGGGAACTTGAAAAGAAAGGTAGAAATGTGATTTTTAAACTGTGCTTATGTATTTTCAAGCCCATAGCCATTTCTCCTGGATCGTTGTGGGGGCTGACTTCACCTCCCTCAAAAAGAGTGCGTGGCCTCAGATTATAGGTGAGGGGCTGGGGTTTCAGGGCAAGCGGAAAGAGCTGGAACTCGGCAGCTCTGCCTTTCTTCTCACTGGGCTTCTGCAGAAGCCCCGGCGTCGACAGCACGTGCCCAGGAGCTGGCGGAGAGAACGCAGCCAGTGGGAAAACCATGGCCCCAAGGTCAGCCCCGGGGGGGGGGGGGGTCAGTACAGCTTGCATTAGTTACCATTCAAGACTGCTTCCAGCTGCTTCCATTTCCCACCGAGACTGACTCACGAGGAAGAACGGGTTCTGATTCACCTAAGCATTACGATGACCAGTTTTAAAACTGTCTGCCCTTGGTTGTGAAACTAGCAGATGAAGTTGTTACTTTCCTAGTATGTAAAACAGCTCACTTTGGGTATGTGAGGGACAAATAAAAGGTTTAGTAGCGAATGCTTCTCTATTTAAAAACAAAGACAGTGAAGATAGGAGCAGCTCAGGAGTCAAGGATGGCGGTCAGCCTTGTTATGTGGCCCTTCCCCCACCTACCAGGCAAATATTTCTCAAATAGCTGTTTTCATCCTTTCCCATGCATAATTTGCAGGCTTGTGTGTGGTCATTCCGCTCTTCTACAAAGCTCTTTGCAGGCATGTCGGACATTGTACCTTTTGAAATCGCCCTTGGAGCCAATGTGTTGTGGGGCTTTGCAGAGATGCGGAAGCAGTTGTAACAAACAGTCTTGTCTTCCACGAGGGAGGGCCTGGCTGCCAAACCCAGGGCCTGTTCTGCATCACTTGTCTTGACTTTCCTTTAAAAGCATTAAGTGGGAAGGTACCAGTTCTGCTGAACAAGCAGGCATTGCCTTTTATGAGAGAAGTCATTTAAAATATCGAAAATATGTTTGAAAGATACTGGTGTACTTTTCTCTGACCTCAATTTCATACACTAGTAACTCTCCTGTGCCAGAGACTTAGCACGACACACTCCCTGCCAGGTGGCCAGAGACGTGTGTCCACTCCAGAAGAGAGAGCGAGCTTGATCGAGGACACTAGGAATTTGTGCTTTGCCATACGTGTTGCCCTAAAGGGAAGCTGCGCATTTCAAAAAATAGATTTAAATCTCTCTCTTTCTCTCCATCTCTCCCTCCCTCCTCCTTCCCTCTCTCTCTCTCTCACACATACACGCATCCTCTCCTCTTCCCCTACCACCACCACCACCACACCTCCACCCGCCGCCATAGCTATCCCCATTACTGCTTTTAACCTTGAAACCTCTGTTGTACACTTACGCATCCATCCTGTTCCTGCCCTTGCATTATTAATGGGCCTGGAGCAATCCGGCCAAAACGCTGACATTACTAATTACTGCTTATAACCGAGAAGTAAGGAGCAGGGAGTAAAGTGGGTCACAAGACAGTGTCATAACAATAAAATACTGCTGTCGGGCAAAATTGCTTGGTGTCTGTGCTCTGTTGTTCGGGGTGGAGGTGGGCTTTCACCACAGGCTGACCCAGTAGAGACCCTGCTGCCTGGAGGGGAAATAAATGCTCTTCACTTCGGTCACGCCGGGCTCTTGCTTCCTGTGCACAGGGTTAGTGAAGGGGATTTGTTTGCTTTCTATCAGTATTTTAGGTAAAAATATCCAGAATTCTTATTCTAGCCAAACAGCCTTTTGAAAGCAGGCTCTTTGCCCCTGGTGGTGCGAGCCAGAAGGAAATGCAGCAGAGCTGCGGGGAGAGTGCAGAGGGCTGGCTTCGTCCTCTCAGGGCCACGTGCTGTGTGCCCTGTGCTTGCGTCAGCCCTTCACTTCCAGGTCTGAGTCTGTCCGTCTGTTAAGTTCCCTCCAGCCCGACTCCTTGGTGAGTTGGTACACTTCCGTGCATTCTTTTGTGCTGTTAGAAGATGTGAGCTTGGTGGACCAAACACATGCACTTACCTGACTCTCAAAATACTGGGCAGCGGAGCATCATCATCAGGGAAGGGTCCTGAATTTAACTCTGCCCTCAGCTAGCCAAGGCCCTTCCCACCACCTTTCCTCTGTGGAATGAGGATAGCACCAGCCCCGCTTACTTGGAGGGGTTGTTTGTTGCTGGCAGATGTCTGTGGAAGACATGGGTTGACATGCCCGACGGGAGCTGCGGTGGAAATTTCCTCCTCCCGTGGCCTGAGCGGTGTGTTTAAAGGAGAGGAGCATTTCACTGTGCCACAGCCACTGATAAATCTTAGGCCTTTAATGTCACCTGGGAACCTTAGCCAAAACCCGCCTGGCTTCTGAGGAACAGTGACTGTGTCTCCTAGAGGAACAGGAAGTACAAAGGGACTTTAAAGATGTGAGTAGGATAAAGTACAAACTTACCTGGCCCTTCGCATACCACTTTATCGAACTCTGCATATGTAGATTATTTTACTCGTGTACTATCATGGAATTACAGTCCTGAAACTAGATTTCTTATACTGTGGAAATGTTGCTTGTAGAAAGTCCAGGAGGAAAGGAAAAGTACTTTGAAATAATATTTTCTATTTGTTTAAAAGCACGAAAAGTCATTTTGAGAGACCACAGAGCTTAGATTGTTTCTTGAAAACGGTTTCTTGAAAGAGGAATTATTGATCACTTGACAGTAGAACTGAGAGGAGGCAGGTTTCTCAGTGCCCTGCCTCCTGGTCTTGAGATGTTTTGCCTTTCTCTTTTCTTTTCCTTCCCTTTTTTTTTTTTTTTTTTTTTTAATACTACAAATGCACCATAGTTGACAGAGCATTGGGGTGAGTCACAGTTCTCAAAACTGAAAGTAAATCCTGTCGCTTTTCCCCATGTGTCACACACCAACCAGGTGCTTAAAGCGGGTTGTGTGAGAGGGTGGGCATCCCGAGGCGCACTGATGGCCCAGCCCTGCACTGGGAACTTCTTGTCTCCTCGCCTTGCCCTCCTGTTCTTCCACAAAGGATGGAGCCACAACAGAATCCTACATACCCTGAGCTTTTCAGATCCACTTGATGAAAAAGGGCGATTTCCTTTATTCGGTTCTTTGAACTCTTTTTCTCTGTTTCCTCATTTAATCAATGTTCGAGTTCAGAATCTGTTAAATTTTACTTTAAAAAGCACAATGATTTGTATGGTAATGTTAGCCATGGTCATTTTGAGGCCTGTGTCATACTTTAACAAAAACAACCCTTTTTAATAAGAATGTGAAATAGGGGCTCCTGGGTGGCTCAGTCGGTTAAGTGTCTGCCTTCGGCTCAGGTCACGATCTTAGGATCCTGGGATCGAGCCCCATGTTGGGCTCCCTGCTCAGCAGGGAATCTGCTTCTCCCTCTCCCTCTGCCTACCGCTCCCCCTGCTAGTTCTCTCTCTCTCAAATAAATAAAATATTTTTGAAAGGAATGTGAAATAGATAAACTGAGAATTACCCAGTGCTAGAGTCACCCACAAAATTTTACATAACCCATCCGCAAGAAATAAGATTGATCTATAGGTACTGATCAGGAAACCTCTCCAAGAAATGCACTATCAAGTGAAAACAGCAAGGTAAAGTGTGTGCAGTCTGAGTGTTTGGCTCCTTTTGTATAAATGTAGAGAGTTTATCTGTTAAGTATGTGTATTATTTTTTTTTTGGAATGAAACACAAATTGCTAAAGGAAGGCTTAAAACAAGAGGAGTGCACTTTGTCTTCATCTGTGCCTTTTGTGTTTCTTAGTAGCTTGTACATGGGTGTCCTTGCTCTCACCAGTAATCTCTGTATCAACAGAGATTAAAACAAAACACCCAACAACTCCAGGACAGAGAATGGGTTTTAGCCAAACCCTTTCTCCCCCTGACATTCAGTCTGTCTGGAAAGAACCAGTCAGTAGCTCCTGCTTCCATTTCTTTATAGCTTTTGGATATGTGAGTGTCTGGTATTATATACAGTTCTCACCCTACTTCATTTACTGTCTTTTTATAGCTTTTTACGCTCTTCTCTCAATGTAAAATAATTGAAAGACGAATCATTGCTAGAAATGCTTTTCAGTTTTTCAGAGTTCTGTGCTTTTAACAGCAGAATGAGAGCCTGGTGTCCTTGCTGCCCAGCGGTGGGAATCCAGGACTTGAAGCAGGAGTGTCTTCTGTTAAGAATACTCTCGTGACTGTTCCAGGAAAGCTTGGCAGAGCTTCATGCAGTTTCAGTGGTAAAGTTCCATCTTACTCATTTGAACTGCATGGCTCCCTCCGTCTGTTAGACCTAGATTTGTGTCAGGGTCTGTATTTGTAATCATGCAGAAGTGAGATTCACGTAACAGAAACTTTTGATGCAAAAATTTGTGTTGTCAGTTTTCTCAATTAGGGAACAAAATAAACAGAAAACAGAGACTTTGCTGATTGGATGTACCCATTCCTCTGATAATTATTTACTGCTCGAATCACCTCTCTAGTTTCATTTCTAAAAGCTAGTACCCTCTATCAAGCATAAGTAAACTTGTCAGAACAGCTGCTTTTTCCTGCTAGAAAACAGAGGAAACAACAGGATGATGGGATGCTAATTATGGAATGACAGTAAGAATTCTGGGCATAACCTATGTAATCTAGGCAAGTTCTTCATTCTCTTAGTAACTTGGTTTCCTCATCTGTAGAATGGGAATGATGACACCTGCCTGTCTCCCACTGGGTTGTCTGAGGATTGAAGAAAGGGATGTTTGTAAGGTTCTTAGGTGGCACCTTTCATCTTCAGAAATTGGATATCTTCCTTCCAAGACACACAGTAGGTTGGGGTGACCACAGTCTCTTCAGTGGTTGATTATCAAAGAGAAGGTTATCCCTGGAAGATGACAGAAATCGATGTGTTTTAACAAGAAAATAAAATAGGATCCCAGGACAACAGAAGCAAAGAACTTTTCCAAGACCTGGGGGGCGGGGGGGGCGGGGGGTAGCTGCCCTGTCAAGACCCAAAGTGAGGACCAGGGAGAGTTAAAAAACTAAGTGGGGATTATCAATGGGCAAATGATGTGGAGCCTGAAAACAGTGAAGATGTTTATCAAGGCTCATTTTTCTAAAGCTCAGGATGACCAGAGATTCTAAATGCTACGTTCTTCCTGCCATGTTTTTACGTGTACTTCACTGAATTTTTTACATAGTTTTCTACAAGATCAGTACTTAGAACGCATTATAATGCTATGAATGTAAAGAATTCACATTTTGAAAATGTTTTGCCTTTGTCCAAGCCTTCTTAACATACATATTTAATTACAAGGCATAAGGATTAATGGGGCTTTGAATATTTAAAGCTCTTTTCCCAAGATTAATTTGATTTAATTACCCCTGAGCTCAGCATTTGCAGCCTTGGTGACTTGCTGTTGGGATGTGTCTATGAGAGGAGAGGGGCTCAGGCAGGCTTCCCTACCCACCAAGCCCCTTCCTGTTCATTTTCAGCTCATCACTTTGTCCTTTCAGTGGTGGGAAGAAAGGGAAGGGTAGTAGAAGTTGCCTCAACGGAGTTCATCTTATAGCTTGCTGTATTTTCAAAGTAGCAATGTTTAGTGTGCATCCCTTGGCATCCAGGACAATAAAATAACAACAATTTCTACAGCCCTGCTCTTCCAGAGACTTAAAAATCCTCTCTTGAGCCCTGGGTCCTTCAACCCTGCTGGCCGGTGTGAAGAGGAGGAACAGGCACAGGCCCCAGAAGAGCTTGGACCCCAGGCAGGGGCCAGTGGACATCTCCTCTCCTAACATGGATCGCAGTTACCCGTCTAGTTGTGAAGGCAGAGGAGGTCCGAGGGCCTGTGGAGCAAAGAGAAGGAGGCATCTTTGTTCAGAGTGACTGTGTTCTTTCTATCTCAGGCTGCCACCACCAGCAGAGCCACCCTTGTGTCCACCTCTTGGTAGATGACAGTTGTGGGGAGCTTCCCTGGTTCCTGCAGCCCAAGGCCAGTGACTGAAGGCTCACCCTCTTTCTGCTGTGGTCTGGCTCCCTCTAAGAGGCAGAGTGTGGAATGAGCAGCCAGTAACAAAGGTGGCAGGGTTGAGGGGATGCACAGGTGTAGCCTAGCGGAAGCTGGCTTCCTCCAGTGTGCTACTCCCTGGTAGCGGGGCCAGGCATTTGTGCTCAGCCTGAGCAGGTGGACAGGGTATTGAATGATGGCCCTTCCCTGCACAGCCTGAGCCTGGGGTTAGGGAGCATCAGTAGACTGCCCCAGCAGGAATTCACGTTTCCTTCCTGTTGCAGGACAGCAACAGCTGCAACACAAAAAGCTGCAGTTTTGTGCCTTGAGCAGATGCTGTTCGGGAGCCCATTGGAATAGCTGTTAAGATACCAGTAGAGGCTGCCCTGTTCTCCTCTGCTCAGCAGCCAGGGCACAGGCACCCAGGCCTTGAGCAGATCTGAGAACACGACACAACTCCTTTGGGTGATCTTCACTGCCACTGACACGAGCCGGGCTTGCTTTCCAGAAGCCCCAGGGACCTCACACTCCAAGAGTGGTGGCTGGTGCTTCCTGCAGCAGGTCAGGAATAATAAAGACTGGCAATAGTTTGGACATCAGGATGGTTTTCTTTGTTTTTGTTTTTGCTTTTTAATGCACAGGCTCAGCTTAGAAAGCCCAGCTAGTGGAACCCCATGTTCAGCCATCACATATGTGTGAAACACTGGCCAGGCTGAATTGCTTTTCTGCCCCCTTGTTCTTCACACATCACCGTCTGCTTTTATCTAGTCCTTAACTCAGCCACAGCCAGCCTTCTCACTGTATGTAACTTGTCATATCATAATGTTACTATTTTTCCTTAAAAGCTTCCCTGCCCTGACCTGCACCCCATATCCCCCCACAATAACTGTGCAATTCATTGATTATCTGCTATTGTGCTAAGCTCTTTAAAAGCTATCCCCAGGGGGTGCCTGGGTGGCTCAGTTGGTTAAGCGACTGCCTTCGGATCAGGTCATGATCCTGGAGTCCCAGGATCCAGTCCCACATCGGGCTCCCTGCTCAACAGGGAGTCTGCTTCTCCCTCTGACCCTCCCCCTCTCATGTTGTCTCTCTCTCATTCTCTCTCCCAAATAAATAAAATCTTAAAAATAAAATTAAA